TTTTGATTTGCATTTCTCTGGTGGTTAATAATGGTGAGCATCTTTTCCCACAGATTGGCCATTTGTATATCTGCTTTGAAGAAATATCAGAACTGTTGCCTATTTTTAAACTGGATTATTTCTCTTGTCACCAATGCCTTTAGTGTCATATATAAGAAGGTTCTGCTTAACTCAAGTCATGCAGATTTACTTCTATATTTTTGTCGAAGAATTTTATAGTTGTAGCATATACATTTAGGTCTGTGATCTGTTTTGATTAATTTTTGTATATGGTACAAGGTAGGGGTCCAATTTCATAATTTTGCATATGGATAACCAGTTGCCCCAGCACCATTCATTGAAAGGACTATTTCCCACTGACTTTTCTTGGCCCCCATTTTGAAATCAATGGGAGGATTTACTTCTGAATTTTCAGTTCTATCCCATTGACCTACATGTCTATTCTTATGCCAGGAGCACAGTCTTGATTACTGTAGCTTTGTAGCAAATTTTGAAATTGGGAAGTGCAAGCCCTCCAACTTTGTACCTCTTTTTAACGTTGTTTTGGCTAATCTGGTGTAAGGAAGAACACATTCTTTCTCTGCGTATCTCCTCTACTCTCAATACTTTCTTCACTACAACACTACTTCACTTCTGACACCAGATATGCAGGTTTCCAAACATCAAGAAATTTTGCAACGCCAACTAGGTGTCCTACAATTTAACTCAACCCTGACACTGTCTACCTGGCGATAGCATCAGATCCCACAGGGAAAGGATTTAGTCTTACAAGACTGCCTCTCACACCCACTTCAGCTGCCAATAGCATGTCTACGTTGTTACATGTGCTTCTGACAGCCCAGCTATGAATCAAAGGTTCCCGTGATTCTCTCCTTAGGTTTGATTAATTTGCTACAGCAGCTCACAGAATTTAGAGAAACATTACTCAAGTTGAAACTGTTATTATAAAAAATACTATAAAGGACACATAGAGTGAGGTCTTGAAGGGCTCCAGACGCAGGAACTTCTGTCTGCCTGGAACTGGGTGCACTACCTATCCAGCATGTGAATGCCCCATTCACCACACTTATCAAACCCTGTTCAAAAGTTTTGGAATGCTTAGCCCCCAGATTCCTCCCCTTTGCCTTCCCTGAGGTCAGTAGGTGGAGCTGAAGGTTCTAATCCTCTAATAGCCAGGTTTTTCTAGTGACAGCCCCACCCTCAAGCCATGTAGGGGCCCCACCCTAAATCACTTCATTAGCATAAATTCAAGTGTGCTCAAAGGAGCTCCTTATAAATGATAGGATCAGTCCTATCACTCAAAAAATTCCAAGAGTTTTAGGAACTTTATGCCCGGATCGGATCCGGACAAAGAGCAAATACATTTATTATTTATTATACCACATCCCTTAGAACTTCCAAATGAACTTCAGAATAAGCTTGTTGGCTTATGCAAAGATGTGTCAGCTGAGATTTTTGACAGGGGACTGCACTGAATCTGCAGATCAATTTGGAGACTATTGCCATCTTCATAGTGTTTTTGGCCCATGAACATGGAATGCCTTTCCATTTATTTAGGTCTTCTTTAATTTCTTTCAACAATGTTTTTTACTGTTTAGAATGCAAGTTTTGCACTTCTCTTGGTAAGTTTATTCCTAAGTATTTTATTCTTTTTGACACTATTCTAATACATCAAATTATTTTTAAACCTATTTTGACATCTCTGAAATTGAGATGTGGTCTTACAATCAAGAGTATTTTAGCATCATGCGTTCAACCGGCAGTCATATTTTTTTCTTAGTGGAGGTAAATGTGACTTACAATCAATCGCGTCTTAGAGTCAATACCATATAGTACTAAATGTGAAATGTCTATAAGACATTGAAGTGGAAATGAAAAATACGCATTTGAGTATATCAGTTTGGAATCAGAGAGGCCTAAACTGGAGATAGAAATGTGGGGTCATCTGAAGTTCATTATTTAAAGTCACCACTTTAAATAAGAGTGTAGAGGAGATGAGAGAATCCGGGTTGCAGCCCTGGGAAATCTCAACAAGCAGATAAGCTGAGTAGAGGAAGAAGAGTCAGCAAAGGACACACTTTTGCTTTGAGTCTATTATTGACATTATTGCACTTGTTATTATTTGTCACTAGATGGAAGGACCTATAGCGTCCTTTTGTTCTCTAATGAACCTTGGAGCTGAGTGCTTTACTATATTTTGATATTAACCCACATACCACAGGTACATTGTGGGAAATGATTCACAATAACCTATGTTTATTTGAGAAATAATATACTGATTAACCACCAGCTCTTCCACCCTGAAAATCTGACATGAATACAAATAAATAAATAAGCCTTTCAGGTCTTCAGAGAAGCACTTCAATCTGATTGGGACTGAGGCAGAAAATAGGCCCAGGCTTACTGCGTACTAACTAGAGGGACGGTCTAAAGGCAGAAGAGGAAAAGCAGTCACTAGAAGTTCTATAGCAGTCACGATTAAACCAGAATCATGTATAAAAATTCTCCTAAGGAGTTCGCCTCTCGTTTGCTGTCACATTTCTATAACATAAGTAGGACACCAGCTGGTAGTAATGCCAATTCATCTGCCTTTCATTTACTGTTTGTCACTTCACAGACGTTGAATCTTATTCATTCCTTTTTTCATTCTTTCCTCTTTGTATTTCAAATGTCCTAACCATCACATAAAGTTACCATAATATCACATCTTCTGGGTAGTGGTTCTCCATCAGAGGAGATTTTGAACCTAGAGGATATTTGGCAGTATCTGGAGACATTTTTAGTTGTTACAACTAGAGATGGGATGATAACATCAAAAGGGTTGAGGACAGGGAGTTGCTAAATATCCTACAGTCCCCAGGACAGCCCCTATAACAAAGAATTATCCAGCCCAAGGTGTCATTAGTACCAAAGTTGAGAAATTCTACCAATAGGGATAAGTTTATAAGTACCTGAACTTTCTAGGGGCAAGGTCCATAGCTTTTACCAAATTCTTGAAGGTGGTATGACTCAAAACTTTAAGAAACACTGGTTGTAATGGATATTTCATCTAGACCTTGGTAACAAGTGACATATTAACCACATTTCACAACAGAAATCACCTCTCTAGTTTAGAAAACTTATCTCTGCCAACCAGACTTCCCTGTCCCTTTCCATTGTCCACTCTCATTCATGGCTAGACAAACATAGCTCTTTACATTTCCTGTCTCTAGGTCTTCCAGATACCTCAACTGCCTCCTATTAGCCAAGTTGATACAATTATTATGGTTATAGTGATTATTAATAATTAAGCTATAGCTTCATGATATGTCAATAAAAGTCCTGCTTTCTTAAAACACATCCGGTTTATTTGGTCAATAGCCATTTATTCAGTTCCTACCATGTTTCCACTGCTTAACCACTATGTACATAGTGGTGAAAATGAACTTACAATAGAGTGCTGGAGAGATATTAATAAAATTTGAAAACGTAATTTAAAACTGCAATATGGGAGGGCAGGTGTGAAAAGTGAAGGCGAAAGGAACCAAAATGAGGATGAAAAGGAAGGACTGAACAACCAGATCATGGCATGCCACCCAAATGCAATAAGCAGTTAACTCCTTCCTGGCTATTTTAAACAATTCTGTGATATACAGATCCCAGACCGGGTAACCTGGGATGTATTTATGTTCAACCAACATTCCCTGGGCACTGACAGACAAATTTGGTAGTGCAAACTATGGGAAAGTTGAGAACATCAAATGCAAAAGCTCCCTTTGTTGTTGTAGCTGTAGCTCTAGTTAGGAACCAATGTGTGTTGGGGTGGGGGCAGGGGGAGGTGCAGAATAAAGCCAATGACTAACATGACCTTTCCAGATAAACAGATTTGGAAATCGTCACAATCGCCATCGCTCTTGATTCAGATACTGGAAATTAGCTATCGTGGTCGGTAAATCAAGAGACAAAATATATAAATCTATCTATCTATCTATCTATCTATCTATCTATCTATCTATCTATCTATCTATGTAACCATTCCTCCCAATATTAACAACTCAGTATATTTTTAAATAGCCTAAAGCGGTCAGGAGAGTCAGGGGCAAATTTCAGAGAGACAGTCAGGCCTGACACTTGAACTCACAAAAACCCCCAGATTGGTAAAATAACCAGGGTTTCCGTGGGAACGACGTAAAGGGCAGCTGGTGAGAGAACAAAGGCTGCATGTCCCAGTTTAAGGGCCGCCCGGCCTGCTGGCCTCCCTGGGGGGCGGGGGCGGCGGTGCGCCCGAGTGGCCGGCTCCCGGGTCGGTGACCCACGCCGCCGCGGCGTAGGCGCTCCTCGTCGGGACCCTCCCCGGGCCGGGTCAAAGGCGGGGGCCGCCGAGATGGGAGGCTCTCGAGACAGGCCGCTGGGGCCGCCGCCCGAGTGAGTGAGCTAGCAACTAGTGAATCACACTGCGGGCCGTCACTCTCCAGGATCCAGATCACGCGGCTCCCAGGGCCGGCTGAAGCCGCCCAGATGGAGCATGCGGGACAGGAGGGGCACCGGGGACACAGGCCGACGTTCCCTGCAGTTCCCGTCTCTGAGGGGCCGCCGTCGCCGCCAGGCCCCGCCCCCTCACGCTAATGTAATAGGGGTGCGCTGCCATTGGCCCGTGAGACCGGAAGAGACTCAGGGCGGAGGAAGAAGGCAGGAAGGCGAGTGGGCGGGGGCTGCGAGGAGCGGGCGGCGCTGGGGCGACTGGGAGAGCTGCGCGGCGTGCGCGAGCGAGAGGCGTAGTGGCGGCGGCGGGAGCGCGCGGCGGCGGCGGCGGCGGCGGGTGCGAGGCGCGGGCTGTTGTGCTCCCAGCTCTCCTCTTTCCCCTCCTTGGCGGGTGGAGGAGGCCGAAGCAGTGCTGGGCGCGCTCCCTTTCCTCTCCCTCCGGCCACCTCCCCCAGCCCTCTCGCGCTGCGCGGTCTCTCCGACGCAAGACTGTCCCGGCCCGGGTGAGCGGCTGTGGGGGCGGCGCTGACGCCGCAGGACGCCCGGGGGCCGGGGTGGGGGCCCGCCGGCGAGGTCGGCTGGGACCGTAGGGGGGTCACCGCGGGTCGCGAGGGGCCGGCGGCCTGCCCCGCCTCCCCGGGGGCAGCGGAGCCCGTCCTGTCCCGGCGCGGGCCGCGGAAGGAGGGCTAGCTCGGGCGCCTGCCAGGCCCTGCAGGTGGCCGGGTCGCAGGCTGGCCGCGGCAGCGGAGCGGTAACCTTACCCCCTGGCGACAGCAGCTGCTCTTGAGGCCGGGGCACCCCGTGGCCCAAGGGGCCGGGTTTCTGGCAGCCGAGGCCTCCTGGAGGCGCATCTCGGGCCGGGGTCCGTGAGGAGTGGCTGGTAGGTAGGAGCTGTGTGGCTCTGGGTGGCGGAAAAGAGGAGCGGGCTCTTCGAGGCGGGAGAAGCCGGTTTGGGAAGGAAGGCGCGCTGGGCTGCAGCTGGGGTCAGTGAAGTGCTGGGTGAAATAGACCTTCCTGCTGGTGCTTTCACCCTTACTCCTCTCCCGAAAGAATGTAGTTAAAAAGCCAGGGTCAGGGTGCTGCTTGGGCCTCTTCGTTTCGTTTAGTTATGGAGATGGATCCTACTTCCTGGATCCAAAATCTTTTTTTTCTCTCTTACTCGTTTGTTTTGGTTTTAAGAGGATCTTTGGGGCAGTGCTTACTTGTTGCCTCCTGTAAGAGCTCATTTTGGAAGAACTCGCTGTTCGCTCTACTACTTCCCTCTTTGAAGCCCCCGTAAGAATTATATTAAAAGCTAGCTAGCTTTTAGGTATTTGTAAATGACTTCTCGTTCCTCAGTTTGTTGTATTTAATGAAGGACAAGTTATGCTTAGTTGTGCTTAAGGTTTTGTAGAAAATTCGATTGGCTTGAGAGCAAGTCCTAAGTTGAGCTGTCCAAAAGCAGGTGGCTTGTTCGTTTGCATTTCTGCTTTCAGAAAGGAAATCAATGCAACGTGGTGTTAGAACTTGGGGGTGGGGGTAGGGGGGAGCAATCTCACGCGTTTAGACTGTTTGATTCGATTTCCTTTACTTAGTTAACGTTTAGTTTTGTTTTAAAAATAAGCAACCACTGTCTTTTATTTATTAAAGCTTTTATTACGTTTTTGTTACTTTTGTTAGATGACAGTGAAAGTTGGTTAAATCTATTGTGTAATGTTATATTAGGAGAAATGGTAACTGTAAAAGTTAAAAATAGTATGCATCTAATGGCATTGCTTTGTACAGATTCTGCATAAAAATGTTATAAAAATAGCTAACTTCTAGATATCAAAGAAGCTTCTAGAATTAGTAGCTTGTCATTTTATAACTTTTTTAATGTTAAACAATTAAGAGGTTACCCATACAGTCAGTATATTAACATACATAGCATACATTGTGTGGAAAAGTTCAGATTCGTGAGAAGACTGAAGTATTCTGACATAAGGTACTGAGACTAAGGCATTGAGACATTAAGAACGTTACAGACATTGAGTTATGTAAAGATTGAATACCTGACTACCATCATCCAAGTAATAGAAAAGTATCCAAACCTGTTTCCATGGGAATAGGTTTGTAAGTGTGCCGTAAATGTACTTAAAAAAAAATCATTCCATTTTGCTTGGAATTAATAAGGGTTTGGTTTTTTAAAAAAATAACAAAAATGGAAGTTTAGTCTTAAAGGGCTAATACATCTGGTAATATTTACCATTATTTAGTGGTCTTATATTCAGCTAGCATACTAAACCCTTTTGTAATTTGTTAAAATATTCGGCCAACTTCCTAGAAAAGGATTGATCCTCCTTTATATTTTGACTGTTGATTCAGTGTTTAATGCTAATGGGAACTTGTCCACTCCGTGTATTTATTTTTTTCAGTTTCCTTTTTTCTTTTTGGGAGAAGCTCATGTATTTCAATGAAATGCTTTGACCTCGTATCTGTTAACTAGTTAGGGTTCTAGTCAGAAAAGGGCAGCACTCTTTGTTTTCTGGTGAAGTTGTAGACCCATTGTGTGTTCATGTCCTGCAATGATTTAAGTTTAAAATTTAATTGCAGTGCTAGTCAAAACTATACATAGGAATTCCACTTAGACCCAATTTTAAAGTATTTAAAAAGCAGCTGAGACTCATTATATAGACCTTTTATAGTTTAACTTTTGTTGTCTAAATGAAGTCTTTAATTTTAATGAAAAGTAAAAGTAGCTTTTTACCCCTTAATTTTTGACCAGTTAGGTTCATTTCAGATCATCAGCAGTAAAAAGTGGTATCTTTCATGTTTGTAAAGGTACCCTTAATCTTATTTAATAATTTGTCCAACAGTCCTACAAAGACCAATTTTTTTTAGAGAAAATAGCACAGTAGTTTTATGAAACTTGAGTTTTTAAGAGAACAGTTCCTGTTACTCCTCTGAGCTCCTTTAGAAGCGTTAGATAATAGCTTTTTTTTTTTCTGTTAAAAGTTGTCAGAATCTCAAGTTACAACAGTGACTATGGGGAGGGAAAACTGCCTTGCAAAAGAGCAAACAAATGATTGAGGAAGGGGCTAAACTATTTTTTTGGTAATTCCATATAGGAAACTGCACAAATCTTAGGTATGTAGATAACTCAGTAACTTTTTAGAAGTGAGCATACCTGTGTAACTGTTACCCAGATCAAGATACAGAACATTATCAGCAACGCAAAAATCCTCCTCATGCACTTTCTTTCCAGCATTACCTCCTGGATTAGTTTTGCCTGTTTTGAACTTCATACAGCATATGTTCTTTGTATCTGGCTTCTTTACTTTAACACTGAGATACAACCTTATTGTTACTTGTAACAGTAGTTCCTTCTCTCTGAATGTTGTGTAGTATTCATTGTATAAATCTGCCACAGGTTATGTATCCACCTTACTATTAATAGGCATTTGGATTGTTTCCAGTTTTGGAAGGAGGTGCTTGGAACATTCTTGAACTGTATCTTTTGTTGTTCATACGTTTGCATTTTTGTTGAATATATACCAAGAATCGAATTGTGAGGTTTTGGAACAGATGACTAGTTTTTACAGTGGTTGTACCAACTTATCCTCTAATAGCATTGTATGTGAGAATTCGAAAATCCGTACATTTTGATTGACAACTGTTTCTATAAAACTTAACTCTTCAACTCTGATAGAGTATTGTCATACTGAGATTTCACTCTAATGCCTCAACTTCTGTTTTTAGATATGGCTCGTGGACAGCAGAAGATTCAGTCTCAGCAGAAAAATGCCAAAAAGCAAGCTGGACAAAAGAAGAAACAAGGACATGACCAAAAGGCTGCTGCCAAAGCTGCCTTAATATATACCTGCACTGTCTGTAGGGTAAGGGGATCGAAAGACAGAGCTTTCTCGTGCACAGTTCTTTCATTAGAGATTGGTTTGTATACATTAAAATTTTGCAAACCTGGCAAGATAAATACTTTATTGAAATAGTAGATTTGAGAGCTAGTTGTTTTAAGAACCCCTAGTCATCTATTCAACAAATATATTTTTTGAATGGCTCCTCTGGCCAAGCACAATTCTCTATGTGTTCGTGAAAAGGAGTAAACAAAACAAAATCCCTTTCCTCTCCAGAATAAAGATGTCCTTTTTTCCTCATCCAGAATAAAGATGTCCTTTTTTTTTTAAAGATGTTTTCTTAAGGGCAAATAACACACTTTGAACTTCGTAAGAAAGTCAGGTCTTCGTTCTTAATTTAGAGCTGTGTAAAATATCTCTGGTTATATAATTGGCTTTTTTTTCTGCTTTACTAAATTCATAGCTAAGATGTCTGCAAAACTAAATAGAGTATATTCACACTGAGGGCTTTTACTGGAATTAATATGAAATATTAATATTAATATTTATTAGATTAGAGTGATTTAAGTGCTTACCAGGTGCCAGACCCTGATCCAAGTGTTTTATAAGTACAAGCCCATTAATTCACACAACAACCCTATGATATAAAGTATTTTTCTTCTCATTTTATGGAAGAATAAATTGAGTCATGGGGACTAAATAACTTATGCAGGGTCACCCAGCCAGTATGTAGAAGAGCTGGGGTCTGAACCCAGGCAGCCCAGCTCCAGAGTCCCCCCTCTCGACCGCTATACCACACTGCCTCAAGGAAGTATGTCTTAAATTCCAAGCCAGAGTCTCTTTCTTGCCTGTTTGTTTACACTCATCACCCTTGAAGTTAGTGAATAAAAGTGCCAAAGGAAAAAGGCATAGTGAGGTTGGTCCAGTACCCACACACTCCCCCACCCCCAGCCCTGTACCTGGGTAAGATTGGTAGAATGGATGGAAAGGAATCTTGATAAGACTGGATTCCTGGACTAGAGTTTATCATCTATTGAAGTCATTACTGAGAAAAGAGAAGTTCCTAGCTACATAAAAATTCTCATTAATCTAAGAGAGGACATCTATTAACATTAAGTAACTTGTTCATACTGAGCTTTGATATACTCAATATGATGAAATTGAGCAGCTTCAGTTTCTGTTTGGAAAGAGGCAAGGTAAAACTAAATTTCACTAAATGACTAGGGAGGAAATACTTTGACCTAGAAGTACTACAGTAGTTCATCTCTTTGAAAACTCAAAACAGCAAAAAATGTTTGTTTTATTGAATTTAATGTGTTGAAGAATGAATAATTGAAGGCCCCTGCCTAGGTAAGTCAGTACAGTGTAGTGTTTGAGAGCTGGAGTACCAGGTTAAAACATTGGTCTTGGACAAGTTAAACTCTAGGTTTTAGTTTCCTTAGCATATAAAATGAGGATAGTAGGAACTGATTTAAGATTACTGAAAGGTTCTGTGAGAATTTAGGTAACATGCTTAACAGTGTGCTCAGTAAATGCTACCTGTTGTTTATTGTTAATCAGAAAAGTCATATTTCATTCCATGTGACTCACCCCTTCTTCGTATGTGAAATGTGGGAATACGTTAGGAATTTCTTTGTTATAAGGTCCTTTTTCCTATGCCAGCCATCATGTTATAGGAGTTTTAAAGTGTTTTGTGATAATTGTCTGTTGTGAGCAGGCTCAGGGTTTTTAAAGTTAGCACATTTTTATTTCATGAATCGGGTCTAACTCTTCTTTTTTTGCACAATTTTAAAAATTAGACACAAATGCCAGACCCTAAAACCTTCAAGCAGCACTTTGAGAGCAAGCATCCTAAGACTCCACTTCCTCCAGAATTAGCTGACGTTCAGGCATGAAGTTGTTTACAGGTAACTGACCTTTTCTTCTTTTCATTTATTAATGTCAGGGTTGGATACAAGAGCAGAATTATCTTCTGTAATTGTGAAATTGATTTCTATCTTATAGCTGAGACTTCATCACTGCCCCTTTTTAAGTTAATGTTTAACTTTACAATTGTTAAAAGTCCATTTTCCCAGACCATAACTTTCCTATGCCTTTGAAACATCCAAGTTTTTACCCCTGTAGCCAAAAATGGGATGAGGTAATGCTGGCCATCTCTGGTCCAAGAATGGAAGAAAGTTTTCAGCTTAAAGAAAAAATTACTATTTCAAGAATATTTGAGGGTCTTGCTTCTAGAAATGCTGCAGACCAAAGTTTGTAAGTGCTTTTTTGCAGATGTTTTACTTACAGTGCTTAGCAGAGCTTCTAAGTACATTAAATAAAATATAAGGTAAAATGTGGGCATACACTGTATAAACTTGGTAGTTTCTTGAAAATAATCAGTTTATACTTTATGTGTGGTTGGAATTTTTTTCCCTAAATGGTGGTGATGGTATATCTGAGAATTATTCCTTTTTAAGGTAAATTCACCAAAAGATCTGTTATAAAATTTAGTTGACAGATCAGACTAACTTCATAGCTTAAGCATGTACTTTTTTAGACATTTGAAATGAATTTAAGTCACATTTATGTAATGCTTACAAGTTCACTGAAATTTTTTCTTATGCTTTTATAGGTGAATTCATGACACCTTTGACTCTTCTACTGTCTCAGACCTTAGGTAACAAACCTGCAGCTGCTTTTCTAACAAACTGTTGATCAGCAAAAATAAAGGGGCTACAGAAACACTCATTTTTATGCTGTTCCCTTTTGGGCTTCATGCAAAGACAATTCTGTGTAAATGTACAGTTGACTCTGATTTGGAAATTGAAAATCAGTCCATCCTTGTTATAAAAAAATTTTTTTACAATTGTAATTATATTGATGTTCATATTGTGTAAAATAACTCATTTAATAAAGTAGTACTTTGATTTTACAACATCACAGGATAAATGGTTCTAGAAATTCTGTTCTGACTTTCTACATTATTTGCCTTATAAAAATCTAATGAATTCATCAGCTAGGATTGTAAGCGCAATTTTTATTTTCCTTTCTCAGCTCAGTGGCAGGTTCGTTAGTTAAACTAGAGTAGACTCATGCATTAAATCTGTGCACACAATTTTATGGGCAGCTGCTGACCTAGGTGAAGAATGACTTACCTGCTGCCTTAGTATATTACAGTCATGTGTCATTTTCCTCTCTTCTTGTTTCCTGTGTTTGAGGTTGGAACATTTCAACTTGCTGTGTGACTTGGCTATACCTGCCAGCCAGGTATAGCCTGGAGATAACTGATAAATTCCTTAAAGTGGTTGGGTTCTCAGTGAGCCCTTCTGAAAAATTATGCTCTGAAGTATATGCCACAACGAAATAATCAGTAAGCCTATTGTTTAATAGAAAATATGATGGAACATACGTGAACTGGTGAAGAGCTATCTTTTATAAATTATACTACATTCTTTGAAAATTCTTCAAGTTTATTTTGAAATTGAAACTCATAATTTTCAAAGGAGTTTTTGGAAGTTACTAACAAGTTGGCCAATTTATGAATGGATTTTATATTAACAGAAAGATTGGAATGACTTGTGGCTGAGTTAATTCCCAGAACCTTCTCTTCCCTTTCCTTTTTAAGTGAGTAGTTGATTTTAGGAGTTTACCTTGTACTGGTTCCTAAAATCAAAGGCTGTGGACAGTATGACTTCCATCTGAACTAGAAAAGTATTAAAATAGGCCAACATCCACATTCTTTTGTCTCTGAGGATGATGGGGAAGTGGGTTGGTTCCAATGAATGAGGTAAATCCTGCCCAGTTAAAAAAGACTAATTTTAGGGTTCTTCTAATTTACTCTTGCCAACTATTAACTCTACAAGTGAAACTGCTGTAACTCAGTTTAAATTTTAAAGTTTATATACTAGGAAGAACACTCATATTTGCCAGTAATCGCTTAGAGCCGCAGATCTGATCCTGTGGATTACAAGATGCCTTCCCTCTTTCTGCTGTAACTCACCACTGCATTTGTCTTTGCAGCTGTGCATATTTCTGCCCACCTTGTTTGTCTTCACTGTAAGTTTAAGATATTCCCAAGGAAAGGCTTCAGTGGTGACTGTTTCTTAGTAACTCCTATTACACTCTTGCTTTAAGATAGTCATTTTTTTCATGTATTTAATTTTCCTAAATTTCAGAATTAATATCTGTTAATTCCCAGTATGTTGGTTACCAGAACGTTAGAATTTGCCTGTTTACTTACAATGGGTGTTACAGAAGTTCTGGTTAAATTACAATTTAAAGGTTTTTAAAAGTGCTTTGAGCATATGTATGTTTATGTTAGTAACAAACCATTTAAAAACCTTTCACAAGTTTTAATTTTTTTCATTTGTTTTACTGACTGTAAATCAGAATAAAAGCTTTTTCTTGTATTTACCCTCTTTCTATAAGCAGCTGAAGACACCATATTTAACTCTAGATCTCAGTGGTAGGGAAGTAGCTGCAATGCTCTCGCAGAAGACATAATTCTCATACTTTGTGTGAGGATTATTAGTGCAATCCCCTTTTTTGTGTTTGGGTTAAATCTGCTGTAAGGGAAAGATTACTGTTTTTAAACATCCTCATTATTTATTTGAAGATTCTTTAACAGATCACAGCAAAATTTGTTACAAAACTGTTATGGTGTCTTCAAAGACTTGACAAAATACACAGAGAGAATTGCTCTGTTTGTGCTCTGTATTTCCATTAGTTGCCAAAAGGAATGGGGTTAAGATTAAACTTGTTTCCATCCTCCTTCGTATGAATCTACATCCCCATGTTTAACTGACACACTTGGGGCTCAGTTGTGTGCTGTAATGTCTTATTAAAGAAGATATTAAAGAAAACTAAACTAGTCTAATTTCTTCTACATTTTAGGAGGTTTTTATATTGCCTCTTCCTGTTTTGTTTTTGTTTGTTTTTAATTTCTCAACTTAGAATTGTCTCTTGAGTGTAGAACTTGGTAGTTCTAAGGGTGGCAAGGTATTTCTTTCATTTCTCAATGTTTTCCCTTCAGTCTGTCTGTTTTGGGTCTGTAGAATCCTCTAAGAATTAAAGGAAAAAACTTGCTCTGAAACCTTGCTATATTGAATAAATAGAAGTTTTTGGAAGGGGGAATAATTGGCTCTTAACTAAACCAAAAAATGCTTAGATCAGTTAATTGAATTGGATAGATTAATCTTTAAAGACATTGACTCAGATTTGAGATAGCACTTTTGGTTACTGTCTAGCTAATTAATCCCATCATAATTGAAACTTGAAATGTATGTAGCATGAATAGGATAGACCGCCAGCAGCACTGTTTTACCCCTCAAACCGTTGTTCTTCATTTTTTTAAATGTGTGGAATATATAGTACATGTTTTAAAATGTGGATAATGTAGAGGCCTTTTTTAATAATACAGTGATCAAGCACAGTCCAAACTATAACTGAAATACTATATTTTGTGAATCTACATTAATTCATTTGTGCTAGATTTTTCATTTTGGGGGTAGTGTTTGGTCTGCTTCAGTTTTGTTTGGAAATACATACTTTTTAGAGTGTATAGCAACGAAGATCAACACTAGGGGGTTGTGTTTACTGTGACTTTACATTCTGAAATCTTTCAAGCCAGCTTAATTTTATCTGTTGTAAAAGTTTCAGGAAAACCAAGTGCTTCCAATGTGTAGATTTAATAAAGCATCTATCTACTTGGCTGAGAAAATAGATATTTTATTAACAAAAGTACAATCTGTCCTTATTAATTGTGGATTACCATATTAAACTGAAAATTAAATGTTTTCTATTTTAAATGTTCTTTGGATAAGCTGTTTACTGAGTTACCATCTTTTTGGAGTTGTTTGTTTTTGTACAGACATTCTTTAGCTCTAATTTTTTGTACATATTATGGCTTCACATTTAAAATCTGCACATATACAGAGAGACTTCAGTCATTTTATCTCCATATGGGCATATCTACAGTGTAAAGTAATTATGCTAAAATCATACTGCTTTCTAATCATTTTATTTGTACAGTGTCATTGTTTCTTCACGTGTTATTAATAATGCGTAGGTTTTTGTAGACTTAAGTACCTCACTTTATCACTACCTCTGCCTTATGAAGTTCAGAATGGGACTTGCACTTTGGACTCTATTTTATTAAAATTTTAATTGAGAAATAGGCCATCATAGCGTTTCCCCTGTAGCAGTTTCTCTTAAAATAAGGTCTGTAGCTTGGGTGACCATACATCCTGGTTTGCCAAAGACCATCTTGGCTTAAATATTAATTTAATATTAATTGATACTTAATGTCAAGTTAGTATTAGATATGAAGTGTCTCATAAATCTTAATATTGCCCATGCTTACATGCACCAAGTTAGTTTATAAAGTCACTTGTATAAAACAACTGAGTGCTTCTTTTATATGTAGGATTAAAAAAGACTATGATTCCCAGAAATTCTTGCTAAATGGGAACATGGGGTACTGGCAAGGTTTGTCTTTCAAAGGCCTTGAATCTGTTTAATTTTTTAAAAAATTATCCTACTGAGGCTTAAATGTCTGGTAAAATTAACTAGATTTTAAAACAAATGCCTTTATTCACAGGCATTCATATAAACTTTATATTGTTTGTACCATGTTGTTCAGACTTTGTTACCTATTTATCTTTTCATCCAGAGGACTTAGGGGAAATGGCCAGTTGGGATTAGAGCTGCTGCCTTTTGGTCTAGAACACTTTTATGGAGTAGGGAAGGGAAATCTGCAGCATTGGCTGCAAGTCAGACATCCTCTGGGCTAGTGGTATTGAAAACCTAGGGCAATCTTGATTTTGATACAGGATGTTTCTACATATTATTTGATCTGGATCTCTAAATTTTATAAACTGTTAATTTTGGAGTACTTGGAGACCTACAGAGAAGTTTTAAAGGTAGTACAAAAGAGTTCTTTTATCCCCTCACCCAATTTCAGTTGACTGTAATGTTACAATCTTAAAATTACTTGGTCAAAACTAGGAAACCATCACTGATATGTTAACCATTAACTCTAGTTTATCTATAGTTGTGTTCCAAGATCCAATCCAGAATGCCACATTGCATTTACTTATCATTTCTTGGTCTCTTGTGGTCTGATTTTTCCTTAGTTTTCACCTTATTTTTTACGACCTTCACAATTTAGAGGTGCAGGAGGCTTGTTAAGAATGTCTCTCGGTTTGGATTTGTCTGATGTTTTTCTCATGATTGTATCGGGTAACAGGTGAAGAGAAGCACAGAGGTGAAGTGCCCTTCTTACTGTACCGTCTTGGGGATGAGTGATCCCCCACATGACGTCACTGGTGATGTTAGCCTTTGTCACTTGGTCAAGGTGCTGCCAGGTTTCTCCACTGGAAAGGTACTATTTTTTTCTTTCCATATTGCCATCTTTTCAAACAAGTCCAGCTCTTACCCAAGGCGAGTGGGAATTTAGCTCCACCTCCTGGAGGGGAAATACCTATGTATATTATTTGGAATGATTCTATAAGGATGATTTGTTTCTTCTCCACACTTATTTATTCAATCATTTTTATCTGTACGGACTCATAATCCAGTACTTTTATTTATTTTCCTATTCAGATTATTCTGGCTTTGGCCATTGGAAGCTCTTTCAAATCGGCTCATGTGTCCCTTTGACATGCCCCATCCCTTTTTGAGCATTTTGTTACTGTGAGAAGCTCAAGGCTAATCGTGTTTTCCCTACCCCAGCTTTAGAATGAACCATTTCTCCAAAGAGCCCTGTTTCCTTTTGTTGGAGAATGGTATTTAGAAGCCAAGATCTAAGCACTGGGTGTGAGGGTTTGGGTTTTTTGTTTGTTCGTTCGTTTGTTTCAATTATGCAGTATTGAACTTTTTTCCACCATTAGCTAATATTATTTGTGGGTTGTGGGGCAAAAAGTATCCTCCCAGACCTTTAGGTAATGGGCTTTCTGAATGAGAAGTTTTCTGCACATCATTGCTGAAGCATTCTCTTTAAAAAAATTTTTTGTCATTTAAAAAATTTTTATTTTTCTAAAGCATTCTCTTGTAAGTTGCCAATATATTTATTGCGAATAATAATGTGCAGTCACATTATAAGCTGTAAAGCATTATATAAAAACAATTTATTATTGAGGAAATATAACAAAGATCACTAGTCTTTAGAAATTGCATTTTAAGACAAAATATATTTACTTAACATAATTTTAGGCTATATGGCTAAGTACTTTGTATGTTTTATAGACAGTAACTGCAGGAACATATAGGAAGGAGGTGCCGTGTGGGTTGGAGAGGTTGGTCTGTGTCTGGAAGGATAGGGAGTCGGCTAGGGGAGGAGTAGGAGTGAATAGGGGAATCAAAATGAGGGTGGCTGAGTGAGCAAAAAGCTCAGGCAAGTACATAGAGCTTCTTTGAGAGACAGTGAGTAGGCCAGCCAGAGCACAAGGCTTGTGACTGAGAGCCTTTGAGCCCGTGCATGAGAGTGGGGAGCAGTCCCTGGAATGGGACTGGATTGTGCAGTTGGCACACACTGCTGTGCATAGTTCAAATTACTCCTGACACTGCAGGGACCTTTTCAGGGTTTGGGGATGGGGAAGTGACATGATGTTAGGACGATTAAATATTTAACAGTGAAACCTTCTGTTGGTACTGTCTTGATAAGAGATCTTTTTACAGCCTCTGGTACTTCCCTTGTTTTTAAACTGAGTATACTGTCCATAATTTAACTTTGGATTATTCAAGGTCATTAAGAGTGAAGGTTAACAGACAGAATTTTGCTCTGCTGGGGCCCAAAGAGCTGTATTTAGGGATATTTGCCTCTGCTGTAAACAGTCCCAGACTATAGTTTGTCTCCTCGTGATATTTGTTATCTTCTACTTCATTATAAATGTTACATTTTCATTATACACTGAATTCCAGAGAATGTCATATCACAGTTGAATTTTACAAATTCACCA